CAAGTGGCAAAGTACAGTACTACACTTTCACAAATAGAATTAAACAAAACAGTTCTGTTAGTTTAAACATTTATTTCATAAAAAAAACAGAATGATTGAAAAGGTTCGGATACATAGTAAAAGTTTGATAAATACCCCTGGAAAGGCATATTTCCACAGCAAGCTAAAAATGTGCAAACCAAGCAAATTTCTGATTTAAAATTTGAGATAATTAAAATTGGAAAGGCTAATAATTAAAAGACTTGCACTAGGAAAATACAAGGCCACAGAGAACCATTTCCAGGGGGTGATGACAAACTTGTAACAGTGAGGTTTGGAATGGCCACTGGGTGGGCTCATCATGGTTAATGGGCGACAGAACTGGTATTTTGTCTGAATGGGGAAAAGGGAGATTTTAAATGTGCAAAACACTGTTCACCTTTTAAAAGCATGCAGTGAAATTTCCTAGTGCCCTTGATTGTAGTCTTCCTGATGGGGACTGTTTTTATGGTACAAATTCGTCGGGTCAGTGCTAAAAGGTCGTTACAGCAATTTAAAAAAAAAAATCCAAGGGCCATACTCTGAGCACGAAGATTGGGTTTTGGTCCCTACTTGATTCCTCAACTTTCCCCCTTGAATATTTATCTGGGTTGTATTGTAACACACAGGATGCGTTTTTTTCTTTTATTTATTTATTATTATTTATTTAATATTATTATTTGTTTAATAGAATAGTCTTGTTCAATAAGGACCGTTTAATGCAATTCTTCAGAGAGGACCTTTTATCACAGACCCAACGAATTAGAGTTTCTGAAGTACAGCATCGTGATAACCTAATGAGTTCATTTTGGGGAGTCAGGTTGGCATTTTGATACTTCCCTCGCCTACCACCTAAGTGACCCAGGCTCAAATCTTGTCTGAGCTGACACGTGGATTGGGTTTTTGGTCCCTACTTGATTCCTCCACTTTCCCCCTTAAATATTTATTTCGGTTTTTCATCCCAATTGTAAAAATTTAATATCCCCATCGCCCATGAAAAAAATGGCTGTGCAACTGTGATAATATCTCCTTGTACTGGCTGCAGTTGATGATGGTCTATTGAAAATTATTCCATGGAGATTACTTGAACATGGCTGCTATTCATAAATGACTCTACTGTTATTTTTGCTGTATCTATTCATCCAATGAACGTTCAGCGCTTATTACAGGATGAATATGAAGGGCAAGAAGAGGAAAATAAATCCTCAGTTTTTAGAGGTTGTGGGCTTTGGTAGGATTCGAACCCTGGCCGCTGCGGTGGAAGATGAGGAAAGAGCTATCACACTAACCCGACTCCCCAAAAATGTTTTAGAAGCAAGAAATATGCACAAACATGAGAGAAAATGTGTCATGATAACATTACTTGGAGTGGTTGTTGATACTTGCAATCTGACCAAGTACTTTAATATTTTGAATAGGAAAATAACTTTTTCAGTCATGAATTTGGGAGAAAGTATTAATAATGGAAAGAGTTCCATACACCAACACTGCTAATTTGGAACAGGTCAATTAGCCATCGGGAAGCAATACAGTCCTAACAATTCAAATTTTGCAGGGAAAATATGAAAGCATTTAAAACTTGGAATTTCCTGGCTTCACCTAGTAGAGTTTGTGCACATGGTTTGTATGGAACTCTTTTCCACTACAAATGCACAGAGACCTTCTCCATCATGAGGGTGGCAGGGGCGTAAATCTGTGGGGGGGGGTTGTTGAACCTTCTCAGTAAGAGGTCCTTCAGAGTTAGCAGATTATCTTATTATAACAGGAATCTTGTATTAACACGAATGAAAACAAGAACAAAATGACTGGAACCTAAAATATTGTGGTACCAGCAGATTTTAATGCAGTGGTCTCATTAAAGGGGTTCGACTGTGTAACCGCCCTTCCCTTTTTGATGGGGGATGCTCTCATTGGATTACACCCCTCCGACAATTTTGAGCTGTGACAAAAAAGGCAAGTTTCGAGGTATTTCCCAAGCTTCCCTACAGCCCAAATGTATTCAGTGGTGCAAGAAATGGGAGTGCAGCCCATTTTGTTTTGATGTAAGATGAAGTGGTTTAAGCATTTTGAACAGCGCCCTCAGTGTCCAGAGATGCCCCCCCCTCCAAATTTTCACAGATCGTTGTTTTTTTAATTTTAATGTTCAAGTCATCGGCAGGTTTCCCACACAGGTTTACTTGTATAAATATGGTGCATATCGCACCACGAATGGCACTCCCAGTGTCCAGTAGAGTCCAGTAACCGATCCCCAAACAAATCATCCCCTCGTCCCCAGCACAGATTTACGTCACTGTAAGGTGGTAACAAGGAACTGCAGTCTTTTCCTTGCCTGCATGAACCACTGCTTGAGATCCTGATGTGGAAACTCTTCCTCAGTGACACAGGCGAGGACTGGCATCAATCTTAGTTACTCCCTCTCCTTTGCGTAAATCGTCCCCGGGACGTTCTGTGGGATCTTGTCCTCCAACGTGCTTCTCTCCAGATTGAAGGAGGTGAGGGCGCTGTTCCCATCCGCACCATAGATCTGGTTCTTCTTGGGCATATGCACAGCTTTCATGCGACGATATCTAAGGAAGAAATCAATCACAGAAGAATGAGCTCAGCTGCAGCAGAAACAGGTATTTTTGAAAAAATAATCCTCTTTTGCTGGTATGAGGCCCCAGCAGGACCAATAGAGGGCGCAATATTCTTACATGTAGCAAAGCAGGCTCCTTTGGTGGGAATTGCACTTTGCTGGTTCACAAACAACTATGAAATGCACACATGTTACAATCACATTACTACCGACAACATGGCTCTTTTCAGCCATTGAGGGGGTGCTTCTACTCAAGATGGATAGGTCAAAGTTCACCAACAGAATCTCTGTCCAGTTGTATTCAAATGACCACATCTTTATCAGTAGCAGGGCTACTGTGACTTAGATGAGGTGTCAAAATATCAGGGAGGAAACACTTCACTTGATTTTTGTTGGATTCAAAGTGCTAAAGGTACAGTCCATCATTTGCAGTTATCCAACTAAGTAACTGACCAAATTTTTGTGAAAAATATACTTCATTTAAAAATGGTTATTGAACTTCACTCCCTGTGATGACAGTTTTCCAACCAAGCTGTCATTATGAAAAACAACAACAGAAGTCCGTTTCCAACGGTGCGTCTAATAAGCAATTTTGGAAACCTGACATAAGAAGCATGCGCAAGGGTTGTGACGAGACACTTGTGCGAATTCACTGAAACGCATTGTATTTTGGTTTACCGCAGGACATCATGCAGGTGGATTGTGTGTGAGAACGTGTCCCAGATGCTGACTTCAGGTGCAATTCAAATCATGACTCGGTGACTTTTGATCTGAAATCAAAATCCTAGAATTCTTTGTCTCAAAAATGTACTGTATTCACTGGGCTGAAACTTCATCAGGTTTGTTCGTAAATATCATTTTTAAACTTTGTGTAATTTTGTTGCCTCAAGGAACATACATGTAACCCACAAAGGATCGGACCAATGATGGACTGTACCTTTAAATGTAGGGTCTCCTCCTAAAGGTGACACTTTTCTGTGATGCCAAAAGCGACATAAATGGCGTCACTCTTACCTGCTACAATTCATGATGTAAGCCCTGTGTCGTTAACATCGGAGATTTCAACGCTGGTCAGACCAGTCGCTCCAGAATGCGGGATGTGTTAGCCAGACTTAGCGGTACGGTACGCTCACCTGACAAAAGGAAAAAAATTAACATGTCAAGTAAAGGCAACCTTTTTTAATAAAATGCTTTTGAGTAAAAGTTTCAACAGAAAGGCGGATCCAGAACCCAACTTTTTTTTTAGGGGGGGAGGACTGTTTGAAACTTTTAAGTTCATGTACATATTTTGCTACAATCTGGAGCTTTCAAAACACTTTTGGAAGAAAGAGAACTGAAATTAAACCCCCAAAAATTCCCCTCAATTTCTTGAATCTTAAATTTGGCTCTCCTTTTGGAGGAAGAACTAAGCCTCCACTGCTTCCCCAACAACCCCTGGATCCACCCTATGCACCCGCTGGTTTCAGATTGTATTTAGTCACTGCTAAATCTATGAAGCCATTCAGCACTTGACAGAGTAGGGAGTAACAGGATGGGTGGGTTCTTTATATGTTGGGTCTCTTAGAAACATTGAAACTATTTGGTGATGCTTATATTTTAATACAAACCAAAAGACCGCATAAATCACATGACACTCTTACCTATTATCATTCATGACGTAAGGCTGAGTATCTCCAACAAAGGAGATTTCAGCGCTGATCAGTCCATGCATTCACACTATGACCCGGGATTGGCAAGCTAACGTTTCCAGTGTGTTCTGAATCTAACAACAGAAAAAATCACCAAAAAGGAGAAGTAAGATTTTTTAAATATCGAATGCTTCTGAAAGGTTTCAACCAAAGGGCAGATCCTGAACCACATTTTTGGGGGAAGGAGGGGGACTTTTTGAAACTTTTTTTTTGGGGGGGGGGAACTTTTTGAAACTTTTAAGTTCAAGTACAGTTGCAATCATTTTGCTACATTTTTGGGACTTTCTACACATCTGGAAGGGCGATAACTGAAACTGAGCCCCAGAATTCCCTTCAATTTCTTTAATCTTAATCTTGTTGTGCCCTCTTTCTGGAGGGCAAATGAAACCTCCATGGCAACTGCCAACCCCTTGGATCCGTCCTTGCAACCGTACTGCATTATCTCAGAAAATTCTTTCACTTCAAAATTTCGGAAACAACTGCAATCAGCAGGGCAGGGAATAACAGGCTGAGTGGGTTCTGATTGGTACAGAGACTGGTGAGTAAGGCAAAATGTTGAGAGAACCAAAATCATAATGACTTTTCTTGTCGTCTTGTGAGGCAAGAAAAAAAGAGGGGAGTTTACTTACTGTACAAGGGTAC